TTATTTTTTTTTTTTTTTTTAAATACGTCAGACCCCCAACATTTATAAAGTCTGGTCTTGAGCATTTACTCTGATAAACACAGGGAACAGCTCAAAATATGGCAGAATTAGCCACAGCGTTGTGAAAAGAAAGGATGGTTCACAAACCATAGAACTGTACTCCAAGGCTAACTGAAAGAGCACTGATGTAATAAAAGATACCCAAGTAAGACAAATTTAGGCAACTCAAGGTTACCTTGTGAAAATCAAAAGGAAATCTGAAGAATCTTAGGAGTCACTTTCCCTCCAAACTGAAAATCCGTTAGGCTCTTAGGAGAAAGATCTTACTAAATTTGACGCTGCAAACAGTTACCTTATGAGATGTAGGCGAGCTACACTGTGGAGGCATACATGGGGTGGCTAGACGATCTAAATGGGCCATGATCACTACAGCTGTTTGTCTCAGATCAATTGCTAGCTCATTGTCCTGTGGTAAAGTCAGATACCTTAGAAAACTCTCATTTGGACTTAAAGGGTAAGTCAGGAGCTAGAAAAAAGAGCAGTCAGAAGAATATTCAAGGTATTTCTATGCCACTACACATACAGATACACAATATATTTTAGACATGCTGAGTATCTGCACAAGTTTCAGAGAAACCGAATTAACTCTACACATCCTTTTTCTTACAGTAGAGGAAAATTCCAAACACGCATGTTGAGAAAATATAGTCAGGTTGTGAATGTAACAGAAAGTTACACGCATAATAAAACTGATTTACTATGTTTTATCAACCTCAGAAGTATTCACTAAGAGTCACAGTTCAATTAACTTCAAACACAACTAAATAAAAACAATCCAAATATGCAGAAAACTGGCCACATCTTTAAGTTAATTATCACAAAAGCATGAACTCTGAAACCACAATGCTTACTTCTAACCATACTATGACATTCCTCCTCCTACCTCAAGAAACTCAAATGTACGCATGAAAACCAAACAACAGTGGTATATATGCATCTTACATGGAAAACACTACTGCCAATTTTGTTTGGATAATTTTATAATTATTTTAGCCAGCCAAATGAAATGTGATACCAACATAATGCCCCTTTCAAATAATCCAAGGTTAAGTACCTGAATCTCTTCCTCAGTATTGGGCATGTCTTTATTACATATTATACTCTGAAATCTTTGTAGCAAAGGTAGAAGGGGTGCACTTGTTCCCTGTGCAGATCGCTCATTATCTGTTTCCCTCGTTCCATTATCCCAAAGTTGAAGCAACAACATTACTGCAGACAACATTTGGCTGAAAGAGGAAGTTTGCATCTTCTATTAATAAGCATTCCTAAAAACATTATTTTAGGTTATCCATACAATTCACTTTCTACATTTTGAAGTTTAGCAATATCAGATGTCACAGCTTTCCATTTTAAACAGATTATCAAAATATCAAAAATGGATTTTGCAACCTAGCTAACATAAGATCTTGATCGCTACTGCATTACAGAAAAGGTTCACATGCTTTGAACCACAATCATTACGTTAAACCCAAACCCATGGAAACTGAAGACAGGCACTGCTCAGGCCATTCCAACAGACAGTGATGGTTAAAAAAAATCAGAGTGCTCATGCTTCTCACCTTAGTGTACCCCTCTGCACTGCCAGTTCTAGCAATATGGCAAGTGCCAAGTGCTGGTCTTGTAACGGAATGTTTCCTGGCCCTTTGGTACTGGGAGCTCCATGCACATCTCTATTTAAAAGTCAAACAATATACATTAACTAAGAAGTAATTGGAAACAATACGTATTTGCTTATCAAAAGCATCTACAACACACCAAGAACCACTAAACTTACAGAAAAATATAAAATTGGTGATGAAAGCAGCTGAGAAGAAAAGCTGACACATTCCACACAAGATCAATTTTTAGAGTGGCAGCTAGGCCTTAAAATTGCCCCAAGCTTCACTATCTACTCTATAGCTCTATTAAATATGCTAAGAACACGAAAAACATTTTTCACAGGTGAAATTCAAATATTCTTTACGATATTCACTATAAGGATGTAGGCCCAGTATTCAAAAGACAATTTCTGGTAACTATTGTGAAAGGGTAACTTTAAGCCTCCTTAAGTAACAGGGAAAAGCAGGGGAGTGCTCCAAGTCCAGTATGAGTGTATTTTCCCTCATACGCACAGAAGCCTGCATTATTTTACTATACTAGAGAGGCACAACTAAGTGTACACATATATTGTACTACCAAAGCACTCTTCATGTGGATAGTTTACATTAGTGAAACACTATTTTTCAAGTAAGTCTACATGCAGTGAATTCAGAATACTCAAATTCAGATTTTTCTTAAACAGTTAAAGGAATTAAATCATATTTAAAGAGCATCATTTCAACAGTTCACGCATTTTTTGCTTGCTTGTATAACAACATTAGAAAAGGAAAGCAATCTTTTTAATTTTCCATAAACTATTATGTTTATACCATCAGCTGCTAAGAGATGCAAGTTTGCCATTTAACAGCTACTTCAGCAATGCTCAAAAAAAGAAACTTACCCAGTCACAACAGACCTTAGGAATTTAGTAGCTCTTTCCACCACTTCCAGCCATACAGAAGATACAGTCCCTTCATCAAAAAGGGACGCCTCTGGTAGAGCTCGTAGTGCATCAAGTGATTCCTGTAACAATTCACTGCACAGGTCTGCATCTTCACCTAAGGAACACAGTAATACTAGTTACACTCCCATCTTTAGAGAAGTTACAGAAATTATTGTATACAATGTTTTGTGGCTTTTTTTTCTTAACCTCAAGCTTACAAGTTACTTAATATGTACAAAGTTCTCAATTTTCGCACGAACATTTTGACTGCAAGACTTCTGAAGAACTATCTGCTTCACAAAAAATATGAATCACCTTTCACAGAAAGGTGACAACTCTTAAACCAGCTCGTCCCACTATGCATCCGCTGAGGAAATCGGAAGAACTAGGGCTGGCTGGACCAAGAGCGAGCCAAAGAGCTGCCGTCTGAACAAACAGCACAGACAGACAAACAGGTAGGTTAAGGTGGCACAGATGACAATTCTGCCAACCTCTGCAATTCGACCATCGCTGACAAATACACAAACTAAACACATTTCATACTACTGCGCCAAACTCCTTTTCTAAGCTGCTACTATCATATAGTAATATAGTGGATCGACCCTGTCTGAAGAATAAATCTAACTTTTCCGAAACCTGGCATTAAAAATACGTTCTCTTCATGAAATACTGATATGCCTTCCTAAGCATAGAAGTATCCCAGCACAACACAGCATTCGTACTGGCTTGGCTGGCTTCAATCAGCAACAGTATTGTTGGGCATAATACCACATAAACATAAAACACAATTATGCAAATCTAACATTTATAAATGTATAGTTCTTTGCAAATATTTAATACACACATGCTTTAATGAATCATCTGCCTTCAAATGAAAAATATATGCAATATGCTACAGAGTAGACCTACCTGACCTCCAGGCTCTACGAAGGAACGCAAATGCAAATGAAAGTGCTGCTCGGGATCCAACTCGTGCAAGTCCTTCTACACCTTTGCCTACAGGTCTTGGGCTAAATAAAATTATATATGCATTGTCTCGATATAATTTA